TGGACAACTCAATCACTGACCCCCGCTGCACTGTCATTGTTCCAAATGTGATGTTTCCAGGTGAAGTTAGGAAGTCGTACACTTGGTTGATCATGATGCCTGTTTGGGTTGTGGAGGCAAAGGTGGTCCTGGCTCCTTTGGCGAGAAAGATGTCATACACCCCAGTCACAACTCCTTCTATAGTGGTCCGTGTTCCAAGTAAGGTAAGGCTTGATGGGAAAAATATCTCTGCACCTGCATCTATTTTGTAGCTGACAGGAGCGACTGTATACCCAGTCTGTGACTCAACAACTTCACAGTACATCTTCTGGCCAGGTCTCAGGTGGACCTGCCCAGTTCTGTCACCTACAAACTTGTGTGCCACAAGAGTGTCGGAGCCTCCATGGAGCCACAGCACCACATGGTTCTTTGTCTCGATTTCATCAAACTCAAAGTATGTTCCATTTTCATTCATTATAACAGTGGGTAAAATGTCATTCCTGTTGTCATTGTCAAGGAGTAGCTTAGAGAAGGCATCCTGCCACAAAGTCGTGTTTTGGTTAGGATCATAAGAAGCCTTTCTGTGCTGAAGTCCCTGGTTTGTATCTGTGTAGAAAACTGTTCCACCAGCACCATTGCCTGCATCCTCTACTGGGCGGTTTGAACCAGAAAGTCCACCAAAGGAAGTGTATGTTCCCGTGTATTCTCGAAGCCAGGCTACATGAACTGCAATCCTCCCACCTGGAATTACATGTATGATATGGTCAAAACTATTCAACTCATCATATCTAGAACCAGAAGATTATAATTATATGCTGTCAAAAACATTGTACATGCTTCAGCAGCATTTGTTCATAGTTTCCCATCTTTCAACTTAATGCTATCAATAAGTCAATGTCTTACCTGCTCCACCATAGCCGTAACCAACACCATTGCCTCCATCAGCATTCACACTGCCATGGCCAGAGAACATCACTGTAGTGAGGTAGACACTTCCACCACTGCCTCCACCTGAATTGCTTCCTGTGTTGTGGATGGCATAGGTAGTGCATGTGTAAGTCAATGGGAGGGGCTAGGTGTTTGACTATTGCATTGGAACATTTAATATCCATTCAATCAGTATGTTCAATTTTTTCAGAAGAGGTGCTCCTTCCCTGAAGAAAGTAGATGAGTAGGATTGTGTTTCATTAGTAATCATGTTTAACTTAGTTGTTCTCCCTCCAAATAATCAGGGCTAACACACCTGTAGCACTTTCCCCCATGGTTTCCAGAGTTCCATCCAAGTGAATGGAATGGCCTGCATGGATCTCGATGGCAGAGCCCCCTGCTCCTCCGTGTGTCCCTCCCCCACCACTTCCCCAGTGTACTGGCTTACTGTAGGATCCATACACTCCACCTGAGGGGTATAAAATGTGTATTGGATTTTCAAAGTGCAATGTCTGTAAAGTTAACCCAACAAAATTATATTGTGTTTACTAAATTTTTCATCTTCACACACAATTTTACAAAGTCAGCAGCACTGTACTGCACTGAAAACCTTGGAAATATTTATTTCTCAACTGAGTGCCTAAGACTGTACATGTAACAAAATTGTGATACTTAAGGTGAGTGTGTGTGAGTGAAGACCTAAGATGCTATTGTTCTGTTTTACTAAACATTTTCCAAGTGACCACAAGATATGGTAACTGAAAGATTTCAAACGTGGAAAAAGCATATCTGAGATAAAGACAACATTTACCATGAGTTTTGTTGGAAATGTCTGTTCCACCACCATAACCCCCATGTCCTCCTCCTGTTCCATATCCAGCCTCGTCTTCTATCCCAGGAGCCTCCCCCAGTCCTGACATGTAGCCTCTCCCCGACACCACCATGCTGGCTTCCCCCTCGATGTTCAGGTTGGAGGCCTGTATGAGCAGAGACTCAGCATCGATGCGGGCTGCATAGCGCATGATGAGGTCATCAACATCTATTTCCATTCTGCTGGGATAAGTCAACCTCGCTTCAGCTTCCAGCTTCAGCTCTCCAAGTTGCAGCTTTCCTGGAATGAAAAGGAAAATACATTTTGTGTATGTACAATTTCTTCAAATTTCTTCAGAATCTTCTTAATAAAACTTTTGTACATAGGAACTAATCCACTTCCTTGACACAGGTACATGGGGCTCCCTACATTTGTTTAATATGTATCTTTGATGAAGAAAAAAAGCTGTTAATGCACATATTTACACAATCTTCAACAGTTACTACAGTATTAGTGAATAGTCTGTGTACTAGACATATTTCCTAAATATGATTATAGCAACACTTATTTCTAACCTACAAGACTTACAAACATAGTGAAGAGAGTCTCAGTGCGGATCTAAGCAAGTGAATGGTATGCACAATTAAAGAATTTGTGTTGCCATCACAGAATTAGAAGCATTGGCATACCTGGGACTGGTGTTTCTGTATACGTCCTGTTCTTGACCAGTGCATTTGTGGCATGTGGCCCCACTGTCATAACCTTCCCTCCTGCAATACTCAAATTGTACACTCCTGTCAGCCTCCCATCCAGGTAAACTGCTGGCACCCTTGAACCAATCACCCGGAAGTCGTTTGGAGCATACAGCTCGCCATGCTGGTCAATGATGAAGTTGACTGGTGGCTCCGCTCGGTGTACTTCAGCCTCCTCATATTCTATGAAGAACGTTTGGTTGCCACGGATGTGTAAGATGCTGGTTAGGTCTCCAAGAACTTCATAGATGGAGACGGATGATGTTGTCTTGTTTATGTACCCAATTTGGAATATTGCCTGCAGGATGACACAATGTCATTATGTAAGAATCTAAGAAAAATTTCTGCCTGGACCCATGAAGTATGCATTTGTTTGCTCAAGAGTAAGAAAACTTTCCCTGCTATTTTTAGACATAAATAGATTTGAAACGTGTTCCACCAATACAAACACTGATATGTGGCAAATGTTAACTTAAAGTGCACCAACATGTTCACCTATTATATAAACATTTGCAAGCCCACAAATTCTCCACAGACTTCATTATGCTTCATACATGAACTTCAAATTCCTTACCATACGCTGCAGCATCACTTGATCAACGGCAAAATCTGCCTCATTAAGTTCTTCGTATCCCTCCACCTCCTCCACAATGGGGTGTCTCTCCTGCAGTACAAAGGCTTTAGGAGGTACAACATCTTGGTTGTCGATGTACAGTCTTCTGAAGTAGGTCCCATTTCTCAGATCCTCCAAGTAAACAGTTCCAGAGCCTCCGAAGTCACCATTTGTGGTCCCCTTCTCTCCCAGGGCTTGTAAGGCACCTCGGTACTCAATGACATTGGAGCAGTGCAGTGCTATTCTTCCCCCAGCCCCACCGCCTGCATTGTGATCTCCTTGGCCACCACGTGAGCTTATTAAACCATGCCCTCGAATGTGACCTGTGCATGAATAACATGTAACAATTAGCAAACCTTCACATCAAAACCCTTTGCAGAAATGACCCATTTATTATGCTAAAGTGCACCCTGGAAAACAGGGTAAAAAGAATTGTGTGTAAATAGTTTTAAAGTAAGGGCATGTTAGGTCTATGCACTGACCAGAGGTGATCCAAGCACTTCCTCCACTGCCTCCTCCAGCCCTCGTACCAGATCCTGCCGAGTCTCCATCAACATTTACCTCTCCATCCAAAATAAAGATGGCACCAACGATGATCCTCACTCGACCTCCTCCTCTAGGACCAGGCAGGTTGTTTGAGCCTGACCCCCCACGGCTCCCCAGCGTTACAGGTCTGTACAGGGAACCATAGGTGCCTCCTCCTACAGTACCGCTTCCTGTTCCTGAAAAAAGGAAAATGTATTAATCATGATACATGTATTGTATTTTGATGACTGTAAAAGTATGGCTGTTATACATGTATATGACTGTATGTATGTATAAAATGTAGGAATAACATTATGTTTGCATGTTTGGTTTAAACATAAAGGATTACAGTGTATTTTGTTCCACTGATATTCATCTGATTCAATCCTTCGTATATACAAGTTTGCACATCGACCGTCTATCTCTGCTGTGACATATGACCTGTAAATCCACACTCTCTGGATACACACCATTTCCTCCATAGGTTGCATGTCCAGCTCCTGATCCCACATCTGTCCCCTGCCCCGGGCCACCAGTGTCGTATCCCCTCCCAGCAGATGTCACTGTAGCACTCGGCTCCAAAAAGAAGTCTGTTGCATAGATGTTGAAGAATTCAGCAAGGAGCTGACAGGCCCACTTCATGTCCTGTGAAAAAACAAGACATTAAATGTAGATACTTCAATGTGACACACTTTTAATAATCATTCCATGCTTGCCAGAACATACTGTCTAGTACTGATTATATCCATCATCAGCCCAAATTTGTTTTCAGACTTCATTCAATTTCTGTTCTTTTTAGTTTGTCACAATATGTTGATTTGTCCTACCTGTTACTTTACATCATGTGATTTACATTTACAAACATGTATGAAAGAGGATTGATTTCTCACCAGGAATCCAACTGTAAAGGTGATGCCCATTGGTGGAGGGAAGGTAATCTGTGACTGTGACCCAAATTCCAAACTTGCGAATTTGAATGTTCCGGGCTCGTCCACAAACCAGATGCCATCTTGCAGTAAAGCAGTATGAGCATGTGGGCCAATTTCAACTAGTCTTTGGTGGGCAATGTGAAGATGTCGTACACCCACCAGCTGCCCATACCATTTGAGTGCTAGGTCCCCTCGTCCAACAATGTATACTGTGGTTGCTAGTTCAGCTATTGCACCTCTGTCGATCCAAACATTAACTGAAGATTTTGTCAAAGTGAAGGATGATTCTTTTACTTCAAGGCGATATGTTTGGTTTCCATGCATGTGGATGCGTCCAGATAGATCTCCTGTGACATGGTGAATAACAAACCTCCGCATTTCACCATCATCAGGCATCTGGAGGGAAGCTTTTCTGACAATATGGACTTCGTCAAAGGTGTAGTTGTTGATGTTGGGTTCATCAAGAGTGAAGTAGATGTCCCAGTCTCTTTCAGCATTGTCAATTCGCAGCTGGGTGTAAGGCCTGAGGTCACGGATATCTTGGAGGTACACCGACCCTGGACCACCTGGGTGACCACCGTCACCCCCAAGAGCATCATAGGAGCCCTTGAACTCATTCTTGCTGTTTGTATAGATGGCCATACGCCCTCCAGAACCACCTCCTCCATTGGCATCTCCATCTCCCCCATGTGAACTGAACGATCCGTGACCCTCAATTTCACCCGCTGTGACCCAGATGGATCCACCACTTCCACCTCCACCTCTGGTGTTTGTTTCTGCCTCCCCTCCACTTGCACTGATGAGACCATCCAGATGGAGAACTTCTGCTACCTCCAGGTGTAGGCTTCCTCCTCCTTTCCCACCATCTCCACTCCCCCTTCCTCCTACACTTCCACGTTCACTGGGTTGGTAGATTGTGCCGTAGTACCCACCTCCAAGGTTGTTGTTTCCACCAGTCCCACCCATACTTGCATGTCCTCCACCAGACCCTCCTTGAGAGGATTGCAGACCTGCACCAAAAGGAGCGTCCAGTGTGTCCTGTGGCCTGTCGCCTGCAGAGCAGCTAAGTGTGCCACCTGCTTCGATGTTCAATCGTGAGACCAAGAACTGGAAACCTTCGGCTAAGATTTTGGCACCATATTTCACATCAATCTCCCCCACCTGTCCAACCATGCTCATGTTAGGAGCAAAGTGTAGAGCGGACTCAGTTTTGAGCTGAAGGGTGGCGAAAAGAAAATCTCCAGGTTGACCAACAAAGGTGTATGTTCCATTCTCAAAAAGTGCTGAATGAGCCTCAGTTGAGAAGTGAACAGAGGATCCCTTGCTAATGACAAGATGAGCAACATTTGTCAACCGCCCATTCAGTTCCATCGCCTACCTTTTTTGTCTCCATACTGAATACCCATGCCATTGACATGGACAGTTGCTGGCAAAATGACCTCAGATCCTTCATCGATGATGTAGTTGACTCTTGCTTTGGTGATTATCGTGGTCGAGTCCACAAACTCACTGACAAACTGGTGACCTGCATGGGAGTGAAGTACGCCTGTTCCATCTCCTTGCACTTTATAAATTGTCAAGCTAGCAGCTGCCTGTGCTACACTGATGTCAAGAGATGCATAGTGGGTCAAGTGAACCTGGTCAAATACATAGTCAGTAACATTTCCTTCTGCCAAGCTCACATACTGTGTGAAAGGTCTATCCTGGTTGTTGATGCGAAGTTGTCTGTGTGGGTAGCCATTACGAGTCTCTTGAAGGAAAACAGTGCCAGGTCCACCTCCTCTAGGTTGAGTGGAACTGTCCATTCCATCACCACCAAGAGCCAGGTATGTCCCTTCATAGACATTTCTCTCTGCTGTGTACACAGCAATCCTTCCTCCTGCTCCCCCTCCTCCATTTCCACTGGAGTCTCCTCCATTTGCACTAACATCACCAAATCCTTCCATTAGCTTGCTCTCTATCCAAATGCTTCCTCCACTTCCTGCTCCACCATCGCTCTGGTCAGGAGAAGCTCCCTTTGCAGTTATCAGTCCATCATTGATGACGTCTGTTGCATCTATGTAGATTCTTCCTCCACCTTTCCCTCCACGTGAGCTCCCTCTGCTGCCTGGCATGTTTGGATGGTAAAGGGATCCGTACGGTTGTCCTCCACTCACTGTGGCACTATAACCTCTTCCTCCAAAACTGCCATGCCCTGCACCAGAGTCACCAGAAGAATAGTAACTGCCAGATCCAATATCAATGTCAAGTTGTTCTGATGAAGAGCGATCACTTCCTGAACAAGTCATTGTACTGCCAACTTCAAGATGTATTGATGTAGCTCCAATGTCAAACCAATCCGCTTCCAACTGCGCTCCAAACTTTACATCTATGTTCCTACATCGATCTTGGCACCTGTGTTGGCCACATATCTGACAGTACTACCTGCATATAGTTCTACATTTGCAAAGGAAAGTTGCCCCTCTGTAGCATTTATTTGGTCTATTGAATTGTAGATTGTTGCAGTTGGATGTACAAAGGCAACACAATCTTGGTCTATCACAAAGTCTCGCACTGCCCGTAGGGCACCTGCCCACTCCAGTGCAACATTGCCTTTGCCGGAGATTTGGGTTCGAGATGAAGTGATCAGCTCTGCATGATGGTCAATCTTTAGGTTTGCTGGGATTTTAGAAGTGGTTTCATTTTGGTCACCATCCTGGTCAACAAGGTAGGTCTGGTGGGCATGAACATGGAGGAGGGCTGTTCCGTCACCAACAAGCCGATGGACATTAAGACTGCGTAATTGGCTGTCAGTTGGCATGTCAAACTTGACCACATTGTTTACATGGAGTTCTTGTAGTTTGGTGTTATCACCTTCATCAAGTGTGAAGTAGATGTCTTCTTGCCTGTTGTCATTGTCAACCATAAGTGTATCTATGACTTTGTTGCCATCAGTGTGCCGAAGGAAGATGGAGCCAGCTCCTCCTCGCCCCTCCACGGGCCTGATCCTCCCACTAGCATGGTACTTCCCATGGTAGATGTTCACCCCAGCTGTATGGACAGCAATCCTCCCTCCACTCCCACCACCACGATGCTGATGATCCTCCATCTCCACCGTTTGCATGTAGGGAGCCAAAACCTTTAAAAACATCTTCTGCATTGATCCATATGCTTCCTCCACTGCCTCCACCACCATGCACACTGCTGACTGATTGTCCGTTTGCCTTGACCTGCCCATCCATCTCAAGCTCCAGGGAGTAGATTCTGATGGAGGAACCTCCTCTACCACCATCACTTCCCCCACCATTTGTGCCAGATAAAGCAGGTGAGTAGATAGTCCCATATGGCGGGGATGCTGTAGAGAGGTCTTCACCATTGCCTACACCTCCTGCACTAGCATGAGACCCTCCAGCATTTAGTGATGCTGCAGAATTAGCACGAGTTGAACTTCCATCCACTGAAATCACACTACCTCTTGCCATCACCATTTTGCCAGCTGTTATGTTGACAGAAGCATACTGAAGTTGCACACCAAAGTTTCACCTCTAGTAACCCCACTGTAAGATGAAGATCATCGCCGGTCATCAAGTTTCCATCTGGTTTTATTATCACAGTGGTAAAAATGTAAATCCCTTGTGGAATCATCCACAAATCTGGATTCAGATATCTGCGAGGTAAAGCTGGTATTTGACAGTGACAGTAGTCCGCCCTGTTCAATAACAACTTCCTGCACTACAATTCGTCCTTGAACTGTGATAGACGTATCAACAAAGATAGTTGTTGGGAAGACAACTGTGGCTTGAGGGCTGACCATTAGGTTGACATTGCTTGTCCAATGGCTTGTCTCACCCTCTACAAGCTTTGGATAAAACAGTTGCTGGCCAACAATGTTGACTGTTGCCAGTTTGTCTGCTGTTAATTTCTTCAAGTAAACCTTAGAAGTGGAGCCATTGAAGACTATGTTGCAATCTCCTATTAAGGAACAAGAAAGAAAATACAGAAAATATTGTAAATTTCATCTGTGTTGGTGTTTTACAGTGTAAACAGTTGGACTTTGCAGGCTGTATACTATTTTACGAAATGTTTCCACTAATTCAATCATGTTCTTATATTTAGACATCATCCTCTTTCTCAGATTATCAAGAAACTTCTTAGATACATAGTACAGCTTCTGTCTTGCCCATTTAAGAATAAAATGCCAGATGTCTTCTAAGTCAGTATTTGATTTGATAGCAGAGCAATGACACCATTTTACATTTAGAAATTTGGTTCAGCCCAAGACAGTATTTTGTACATTCCCACCTTTGATGATGAACTCGTCATATCTGTAATGCTCTCCCTCCTCAGCAATGACAGTGTTAGCCTGGGTCTTCCCACTCTCACTGACGTCACTCTGAACCATCAGCCGTGTGGAAGAAAATCCTGACAAGTTGTCCTTAATGAAAACTGTCCCTGGTGCACCGCCTGCAGAATAATCCCTGCTGCTGCCCCCATAGGCTGTCACTTCTCCAGGAAAACCATACCTACATGTGTACAGTAAGGGAATAAAGGGTTAAGATCCATTTTAGTTCAGATACTTAGACAATCAAACTGCCAAGTTGCTCGCAATGTGTTAAGTGCAAGTCTGCTGCAGCTAACTACAAACTCATTACAGGACTAAATCTGCTGTGAAATTTGCTGCTGTTCCTGCATTAGTTGCTGATGCCAGGAATATAATCCTGACTCTGTTAAGCTGGTGTGAGTATCAAATGGATGTGTGATGCAGCATGCAATTTCTGTATTAGAAGCATTTAGTAGCCACTGTAATGAGCACAATAATGAATGATATTGCTGTCTACAGTCTAGATAGCCTCTAGGTAATGCCAAGATTCGGAGCATATTATCTTGAAAAACCTAAAAGCTGAAAACTAGGCCTACTGTTGTTGAGTGTAGATGGCTATTCTTCCTCCACTGCCACCACCTCCCACTCCTTGCTGGCTGCTGCCTCCATCTGCCTTCAGGCTGCCATGTCCTTTCATGTTATAAGCTGCTATGTAGACACCACCACCACTGCCACCTCCAGCATTTGACTGGCCATGTTCTCCACTTGCATCAATGGATCCTGATGTTAAATCAACAGTAATGAAGATAAATGAAAAAGAAAAACCTTCTTTTTTGTAATTTGACATAATGCTACTTTTCACAACAAACTTTTACTTTCAGCAATATCATAGATTTGTAGTCTCCTAAATACATTCGAAAAATTCTAGTAGAAATGTATGTAATATGTCTATTTTACTTAGGTAGCAAAGAAGAAACAGGCCTTTGCCATGCTAGGAGTTGCTTGACAAGTAAGTTTTGTACAAATGTTTTCTACATGTTTGGATGAGAAAAAAACTCAGGATATTGACACTAAGACTTCTACTTTGTCACTATGCTGTCCATGGTGCTGAAACATGTGTTGTCTACAGACTGGTGAATATAGGCATGGGGAAAGCACTAGGAAAAAGTTGATTTCCCACAACAAAGGAGCCTAAAATTCACACTCCTTTGTTTCTTATTGTGCTTTCCCACCCATTTCAATGTTGGCTATCAGGGATGCTGCAAATCCTCTCAAACATTTGTAGTATTATATAATGCTATCTTCAAACCCACCTTCCAAAGTTAAGTCATTGTTCAACTGCATGTAGAGATATCCACCCCCAGCTCCACCTGTGTCGCTGCCACTGTTGCCTCCCCCAGATCCCTTGAGTGAAGGAGACTGAACAGAATCGTACCAGGACCCTCCTTGTGGGGTAGAGTCACCAGGTGAGCCTCCAAACCCGCCATGTCCAGCACCAACTCCTACCTGATCAACCTGTCATTAAACAAAGATCTCAAGTTCATGATTAAAACTCACTTGTCATAACAAGGAGCTCATCGAATGACCAATGCTGCAAAGAGAGATAATTTTGCAATATCTTTCTCTTCTATTTTATACAGATGCCACTAGTACTACTCAGGAAATCCTACTGTATGAATATACATGTAAGGATACGGAACAAACCTGCATTCCTGCACCCGGCCCTTCCTCCGCACCATTCCCACCTCCTGATAGATCCAACATGGCCCCTGCATGAACCCTGACCTCATTACCACGCATGTGCAGTGATGTTGCCGTAACAACACCTCCGTAGTTCACCTCTAGGAGACCAATGTCAATCATTTTGCCTTCACTGTCTGCATCACTTTCAAATGTGAGCTTTGCATGGTCCTTTACATGAAGTGAGGCCAGCTTGTATGCACCAGGCTCAGTGATGAAGGTGTAACGGCCATCACTGTACATAGCTGTACGTACCACAGGTGACAAAATCACCTCTTGGTGTGGTGCTATTACCATGTCAAAGATGTTGGTCAGCATACCTAAGACAAAAAAGGAGGTGATATCATAATGAGAATGTTTTTGTCAAAATTTGTTTTCAAAGTATCTCAATTTTCTTCAATGCCATGGTTCTAAACCCTATTACAGTCAGTCATGCATACACTGTTACCCAAGACTTGTATGGATGAAAGATTGATTGAATGTCATTACTGTCACTGTATGTGATAGAATTAGGTTGAACTAAAGCTAGCTTATTTGAAAACATTCTTACCTGCAAATGAATTACTTGGTCCTAAGAAGGTCACAGTTGGAGGAAGGCGCAACTCTCCTTGTTCACTAAGTGCAAAGCTACACTCAGGTGAAGATTCTGACAGACTAGTGTCCACCGTGAGAACCATTGTGTCATGGATGTGGATGGTACTGGTAACATCACTGTATAGCCTGTCAGCTGTCACAGTAACATTGAATCCCTCTACATGTAGTATCACATTGTCCAACACATGTAGCTCATTGAAGTGGTGGTCTAGGACTTCTGTCTCATTTAGGACAGTTCCACGTGACATGTTTGCTGTCATACATGAGTTGTCCAGGATGAGTGTGGTGTATTCATCAGAGCCTTGCATTTCCTTGATGAAGACTGTGCCTGCGGACCCTGCCTGGCTTCCCCTCTGTGCAGAACCTCCACAGGTTTTGTAGCTACCTGTGAACAGTGACTGTGAGGTGAGGAAGATTGAAACTCTGCCTCCACCACCACTTCCACTGGTTGGATCCCCTGCATTTCCACCTTTCACATTGACTTCACCTGAACCAGTCAGTGAGTCCAGAACAAGGTGTACAGTACCACCACTACCCCCACCAGCGGATCCAGATCCAGCCACTCCTTCAGAACTGATCTGACCATCCAGTTGTAGGGAGTTGGATTCAATGGTGATGATGCCACCTCCTGCACCACCCACACTCCCAGCTGGGCCGTTACCTCCACCACTTCCAAACTCAGTTCCCTGGTAAAGTGTTCCATACGAGCTGACAGGGTTGTTTGTATTGTCTGCTGTGGAGCCTCCCCATCCACCATGGCTGCCACCTGATCCAGATGTCAAGCCTGATACTCCAGCACCAAGGCCCTCTCCTCCTCCAAACCCGAGGCCATTGCTGGCTATACTCCCACTCAGGCCAACTGTGACTGAAGGGGACTTGACAATGAGCCAACAGCCAGTGATAGTACCACCATAACGAACATTCAATGCTGTGAGAGTGGTGAGCTGTGTAGGCTCTTGGTAAGAGGTAGTCAGATCAAACCTTCCTCCTTGCATTACTTCAACATTGCCAAAGGTGAATGAGCCTCTATCATCCTCCACATTTTCTCCCAAAGCTGTTCTTGCAGTAGATTCAAACAGTACTGAAGCCCCCTCTCCCACAGTCACCTCCTGAAGTCCCCGGAGAGTTCCTCTGAGAGTTAAAGCTTGTTGACCAGTTGTTGACTTACTGAATAAAACTCTTTGTGGAAGAATTAGTTTTCCTCCTTCTTGGACAACAAGAGATGTTGTGGTTATGAATTGATTGGTTCCACTGTTTTGTCCAATGGCAAGGGTTTGGTTGTTTAGGACAGTGACTGTACCAGAGAAGTCACCTAAGAGATTATGGATGGTAACATCTGTGTCTCCAACAGAGGTGACAAATTCCACTCTGCCCATTTTTTGTACCTGGAGGATGTTGATGGTAAGTGTTGTACCTGACTGTGACGTGATAAAGGTGCTTTCCCCTGAGGGTTGATTGTTGTTGTCCACTACAACTGTATCATGCTGTAGTCCAAAGCTTACACTTCTGAAGAAGATGGTTCCAGCAGCTCCGTTGGTCTTGCCAGCGCCACCAAAGGTTGATATTTTTCCAGTGAACTTGTCAATATTTCCTGCGTGGATAGCAACTCTGCCGCCACCACCACCACTTGAGTATCCCACATTGCCTGCTCCACCATCTGAAGTTATAAGTCCATGTCCTTGGAAAATTGCTGTAGTGATCCATATGCTTCCTCCACTTCCTCCACCAAGGTAGTAGCCATCTTCAAAAGTTTTCTCCATTCCACTGGCACTGATCAAACCATCTAGCTTCAAAGACTCAGTTGCTACCAGTTGTAAGGCACCACCACCACGAACATTTGTTCCAGTTCCACTGCCAAAGCTTGATGGAGAAGAGACAGACCCGTATATCTGACTGTTGACTACAGCATTCCCTCCTGTGCCTCCATGGTTTGCTCCTGATTGACAGATGCTGGCATTTTCAAAGCAGGGATAACCAGGGCCCACCACATATCCTGTGCCCACCACCTCAATGGCAGATCCACGTTCCATCTCCACACTCCCAGCTTCAATAAGAACCACTGTCTCATTGGCGGATGACTTCAGTCTGCTGCCTGTACGCAACTGCAACTGTGTTGACTGCACTGTAACATTGGACTCATAGTGACGTAAATCCAATGTGGTATCTACACCAAGAGACAGCCTGTCGACATGAAGAACACCCGGCACTGGAGCCTGGCCTTGAGGACTGATCTTGGCTGTGTTGTCAAAAATGGCAGACGATGACTGCAACAGGTGAAGCTCTGATGTCATTAGATGGCTGTTTGGGTGAAGAATTAACTCATTGGCATGTATGATGGTACTACTGATGGTAAGCACACCTGCAATATCCAGCAGTGGCTGTTGCTCTCCTGTGAATGTAGCAGATTTGGTTATCTCTACATTTCCTCCAGCCTCAATTCTGAAAGCGCATTGAGTTCCCAGTTCTGCATTGGCAAAGTCAGCAATGGTGGTTGTTGATGCACTGGAAACCACTATCTTCCCTGTACCATCTCCAGTCAGCTTTGAAATGTGAAGGTTGCTTGTGACTCCTAAGGTCCCATATCTTATCACTTGCACTTCATCAACTGTGGCAAACTCAGAGGTTGTTGGGGTTGGAAGACTGTTGGTGTTGGTGTCAGTACCGCCATCGATGATAAGAGTGTTGTGTGCTATTCCATTGCTTGTGACCCTTACAAATATTGTGCCTGAAATATTCAAGCAAATGGATACAGAGTTCACTTTCATGTTAGTATGATCATGACAATTGTAACTCAATAGTCTTAATATACATATACCACTAGGTATTTATTACATGTACATGTAGACATTGTTATGTCAATAACCTATTGTAGATTGTATAAGATATGAAAGGGAACAATGCCTATTAGTAGGACAAAAAGTAGATTGGCTTAGCTTAAAACAGTTCACAGCAAAAATGAACTACAAGCTGCTACAAAGTCGACTTACCTGGTCCACCAGGCACATTTCCATCCCCTCCAGCAGTACTGAACACCCCCTTGTAAGTTGATCCACTGACGTGCAGAGCTATACGACCTCCTCCTCCTCCTCCTGATCCTAGTGATGTCCATCCTTGTCCACCATTGGCTGAAATGCTGCCATACCCACTAAACTGAGCTGCTGTGATGAAGATGCTGCCTCCACTGCCTCCTCCTGCTCCACTACTTGTGGTATGATCACCTCCACCAGCTTCAACTACCCCATCATTGATGAAGTTCCCATGGACAGTGATTTTTATCTGACCACCACCCTGGCCTCCACCAGTGCCTTTTCCAGCTGTTCCGTAGTCCTCAGGAGAAGTGATGCTGCCATGGACGGTGTCAACAGAGCCTCCACCCTGACCTCCATGTGTTCCACCAGGGTACACTGCTGAACCTACAGTGGAATTTATGACTGCTGCTGCATGTATAGAGCCTCCTGCATTGATGATGAGATCTCCGTTAACTATGATGTGGGAGGTGCTATGCCCAGTGGGATCACCAGTCACAGTCATGACTGCTCCACCACTGATGGTGAGAGACTGGTATGTTACTGTCCCCTGTGGTAAGGTACATGTCTGCCCTGTCATTAAGTTGAAGTTGGTGCCATGTGGACACATGACATCAGGAAGGTCTCCTACATCTTCATCTCTATGATGTGTTCCCACATTTAGTGGAGAGAATGAATCGCTGATGAAGTGGGAGCCGTACATTTCATACAAACTGGTAACCTGCAGCTCCATTGGTACATTGGTGGGATTCTGGCACTTTATGGACCTTGTCACACGTCCTCCTTCATATACCTTCAAAGTGTCCATGTTGACGGTGCCTGGACTTGTGTCACCTGTGTATCCAGGATATGACAGAAGGAAACTCCCCCCTGACCTGACTGTTATCTCACTTATGTCACTCACTTTGCCACACAGGTCAAGCGTCACACCCTGCCGTAGCAGGATTTTAGGACGTGTGTAAATCACTCCACCTTGGCTGACCTCGATACTTGCAGGCAGGTCAAGTTCATCAATGTGACTAGACTCCATAATGTGTACCTCCTGTTTATCTCCTACCCTCAGTGTGGAACTCCGGTCTCCCAGCAAGTTGTTTATGGTGACCGTAAGTGGAACAGGAGAGTCTGTTTGAGCTGGGAACGTCAGCTCTGCACCCCCGAGTAACTCCAGCTCCTGTAGGATAGCCAGGCTCCTGGCCCTGTTGCCTGGGTCCAAGATGGCTGCCGTGCTTGTGAGGTGTTCTGCATTCACAATGACCTGAGCAGCAGACATTAGTTCAACAGCTTGATTCAAATCCAGTTCCAGTGCTTAGCACAGTAAATGATAACTCAAAATTGAAATATACCTGTATACTACATACTCTAAAATGTATAGAATGTTACGCTGAGTTTGCCTGCTTTTTCAGATAATATATGTAATCTTCCAGTCATGTTTTCAACTCTACCATCATATTCACTTCTCAAAAACTGATCTTTAGTAAGTTTAGATAGAAAAAAGGCAGACATAGATAACATGCAGTGTATGCAGAAACAGGACATTAAATTGCACACCTTGTCATAGTTGCTATCACTTGTGGTGTCTTTGATGTAAACAATCCCAGGTCCTCCATTGTTGTGACCAAGGCCTCCACGGCTGACCAGAGAGGCTCTTGCCAGTGTACTCTCTCCATAGTTCACATGAAGGGAAATATATCCCCCTCCCCCACCACCTCCATTGGAGATGCCATGGCCACCACTGACATTGAACGTTCCTGCAGCAGTTGATAATAAGAGTAGAATGGAGTTAATGTAGCCCAGAGATGAAGTAAAAGATTATCCTGAGGCCAAGAAATTCAAGTACATGTATGTGAGATCACTTTCATTTAAATGCATGTACATGGACGAGTATATTTGGAATGATGTGTACTCTGAATTGGTCTGGTCTGGAGAGACTTTACCATGTATATTGTATTCAGATAATGCAACAGAGAATCAAGTCTTAGATATTAATGTAATTAAGGCTTACCCGTGGCTACTAACACAGGGGACTCCACCCAGATGCTGCCGCCTGATCCACCACCACAGTTGGAACTGGGTGCAGACTTGCCTCTGTAATGAGCGAGGGAAAATAAGCATTTAAAATGGTAGTTCAACAGACATTAGCAGCTGCTGTATTCAATTTCCAAAATGCATGTTTTATTGCTTCATAAAATTCAGACTCTTTATATACATTTTTGTAAGCCTACCTTTGCCAAATTTTTATTACTGAGAAAGACAACACAGGAAGGACCTCTTTTTATTCTAGATAATGAGGTGTGACACAACCTATTATGATTAATAGATTCCAAGTTATAGGATAGTATGATGTTGATGGCAAAGTTGACATTGAACACTCATGATGTCATCCATAAACATTTCAGTCAAAACTATTAAAACATGAGTGATACCTGGCACTGATGAGTCCATAGTTCTCAACCCTTGCACTTGCAATGATGTGCAAAGCCCCTCCTCCGGAGCCACCACCAGATTGCTGACCACCACCCCCAGACCCCATCTCAGCTGGAGACAGGTAAGAGTCGTAGTGCTGTCCACCATGTGCACTGGAGTGTGATCCCTGCCCTCCCAGTCCAGCATGGCTGGCACCTCCACCAATGTTGTTGTAAGTGGTACCATGTCCTATAAAAAAGGAAAATAACATGACAGAAGAACTTAATTGACACGACAGAAGAACTTTCTGACACGACATAATGTACATTATGTACATTACATGATGACAATTTAAAAAAGACTAATTGACATTCACTCATTCACATTCATTCTTTTCATCATTAACAAAAATTTGCTCTCATCACTTTTCACAAAACTATGTATTTTATTCCTACCAGATCCAGATCCTGGCCCATGTCCAGTGTAGTCCAGGTCCAGGTGCCCTGCCTCTGCAACAGTGACGTGCTCTGCATTGACCTGTAACCTTTTTGCCACCAGCCTTCCTCTTGCCTGTACTGTCAGAGTCTGTGCTTTTAACTCATAAAGGTTTTCAGTCCCAGTCATGTGCACAACAGCATTTGCACCAACAGTGAGGCTCGTAGTGAAGTCCAGGATGGGGTGGTCCTGATCTGAGGTAGCAGTCTCAGCTTCTCCTCCAAACGTGAGAGTACTGTCAGCAACAGTCAGCTCACTGATACCAGACAGTGTACCTTCCACAATGTTGAGGCCTTTGTGTAACATGATACTGCTGGGCATTGATAGTTCACCATTTTTGTGGACCTTGAAGTTGATAGGCAGGTAGTAATCAGTGCGTTGGATGGTAATCATCTGGCCTGGACCCACGTTGAGGGTGGGTAGGCTGCTCACATCACCTGTTCTATCTCCTACCAGTTTCTGAACAGTGTAGTATCTCACAAGATTTGGTGCAGCAGCATCTACGTCGAATGCAAGATGAGCATTGCCTCGAAGGTCAAGGGTGGCAAAGTTGTAGCTTCCAGATGGAGGAACGTTCACCCACGTTCGACCACTCACTTCACTGAGGTCAAAGAAGTCCCCGATGTTTTCCTGAAAACCAGTCATGACAATTGGAAACAAGCAGTTCAGACAAAAAGACATTGAGCTTGCACATGACAATTAAGGCAAAATGTAACAAAAATAACTCAAGACAGCTGCTAAGAATGTGCCATAATTGTCAACAAAGTTTCAAATACTGTCCCCAAAATCAAACGGAATACTCCCAACATCATACTAACCAGATATACAGTTTGTCCATTGTTGTCCACTTTTAGTGTCCACAGCCCACCACTTTCCAACAGTACAGTCCCTGCTGCTCCAGCTTCAATGCTGGACTGCCCACCATAGGCCTGGATGTTCCCCTGGAAGGTGCTGCTTGTGTAGTGCACGGCCACACGACCTCCGCTTCCACCACCAGCATCACTGCCATCACCTGCACAAACAAAATTACCCCTTCTTCATCAGTTACTTACTGAAGCCACACCTATTTAGTCACTGATTTTTCTCATACATTCAGGAAAGATGAAAACAGTGGGTTGTAATGAAAACTCCCAAGTTTACCTTGTCCCCCTGAGCATTCTATGCTGCCTGTTCCTTCAAAGGTGTCTGTCCTGATGAGAATACTTCCCCCACTTGCACCGCCACTCCCTTCAGCCCCATCTGCACCATTCCCTCGGATTGTGCCTGATGATTTAAAGATATTATAGGAATATAAGGATTCAGTCATAAAATATAAGGATTCAGTTATAATATCAAATATCCCAAGACAATGAAACATCTATAAAACATAGTTACTTAAGCACAATGTTTGCATTCACCTCACAATATTTTAAAAGGACGTACATGTATGGTCATTCCATGTCATGGAAGCTTAAAACTAGCAAATATACAATTTGACTATGACAGATTAAATATTTATCCTTACATCATCAGCAATATATAAACTGATCCCAAAGCCCATACTTACCATCCAAACGAATCATATTAGATGCGGTTAGTGTAACAGATCCACCACCTGCGACGTGCCTGACACCATTCAGAGTTGCGGAACTGCCGAATGTGTTGGGCTCGCTGAGGTCTCCATAAAATCGGCCTGCTCCTGGCCGGGACCTGCTGCGCCCACCGTTCCCACCATGCCCTGCTCCAGCTCCATTGGTGCCCCTCCCCGCCACATGACCAGCAACTGGTGCCTGTAAAAGGAAACTTGTTGACTTCTGGTCTTGTTGAAAAAAATATGACTGCTGACTTTGTATCAAGGAGAACAAACTGCTTTCCTTTGAGATGATTTCTGTTAAATCTGCTTTACAAGATCGAAGTATGTTTGCGACATCAGTTTGTTGACCACCACATTTTACCAATTTTACATTAAGTAATACAATGTACATTAATCATAAATAACTTGCTTGGTGCAATGTTGTTACATAGTTACACAGTGTAATTAAATTATCAATTATTTATATAAATACAAATAGTTTCTTTCTTCTGTTGCCCATCAGGAAATAAAAATTGGCAGTGTCAGACAGACGGGTCATTTATGTCTTTAATGTATAATTCTGAAATTAGCAGTTAAAGAAATGTAAATTATACAAGTTCCTGTCCTTCTCTGGATGATGACTTAATTATTACAAAATCATGAACAAATCTCTTATTACCTTGCCACTGAGATCTATTGTAGCTGCCTGTTCCACAATGATGTTTGTAGCTGTGATGGACAGTTTGTCAGCTGTCAGCCGACCTCCACTGTGCACATGTAGCAGCTGGCCATTGAGGAACAGTCCAGTCTCATCACTCTCCACGGACAGCTCACCACCACCCTCGATAGTCACTGTTTGGAACGTGATGTAGCGTGTGCTGTCCCATGTTGCATTAGTCTGAGGTCTGGTCAAAATATTGTACACAATGTGTAAAGATAATCATATTATGCTCAAACATATTATGTTTAATTGTTATGACATAACAAAACTTTGCATATCTGTGTCCTTCCTTAACTTTGTGTCCACAAGTTGGATAGACCACCAGAATGAGCCTATAGGTTACGAAATCCTACCTGAGAATGAGCTTCCCTCCATGCCCAATGGTGATGTCTTGTGCTCCCAGGAGGTCACCTGCCAGGGTCAAGGTCATGTCTCTGACCTCTAGATGTTCCGACATCTCCAGCTGTCCGCCGGGGTAAACCAGCACATTCCACATCAAGTCTGGGCTCTCTGGTGGCTGACTCACATGGAGAATCTGTGAATTCACAGGGAAATGAAGCAACAGATATTTTAGGAATGCACAATGATCACAGGGTGGGGGCATGATTTGAAGTAAACATAGCAGCCAACTGGTAAAGGAGAATCAGCTCTGACACAGTCTATGATGTAACTGGTATTTTTGCATATTCATTAGTAACCATGGTCAACTCGCTTGTTTGGCTGTTTCTAAGGCTTATTTTCTTATTTCTTAACACCTACCCAAGTCCTCCATCCAAATAAGAACACCAGGGATGTACAGTAGTTTCAAAGAACCGAATTGTGGGCAAATGGTTATAACCCGATTTCAGTACCAAGGACAGTGTTCAATGTCCATGGTACTGAAATGTGGTTGTTACAATTAGGTAGGTATTTCATTGAGTACTTTAACTTTGATAAACATTTAGTTCACCAATAGATTGCATACAGCAACACTGAATAGACTTTTATATTGCTCATAAAGAAGAAAAAATTGTACCTGTGACGGTCCAACATGCATCATGCCCGTCTTGTCTCCTGATGTTTCATTTACCCTTACATTGTACTGAGTTCCATCAGTGTGGTTGAAGAGAGAAAGGTGGGCTCCTCTTCTGATTGACATTTCTTTGAAAGTAAAGGAGCTTTGGTCTTCATAGGGCACAAGCCAAGTCCTTGCACTGTCTTCACCTTTGTGTTGCTGATCGTCCAGGACTGAGAAGTCGATCTGTGGCCGACGTGGCTGTCCTCTGTCTTCATTATCCACAATGATGGTGTCCTGGCCAGCATCTGTGTCCCTCAGGAGAATAGTCCCTGCACCACCAACTTCATAGCTGCTCCTTCCTCCAAATGCTTGTATCACACCACTGAAGGTGTTGTTAGCAGAATGGATGGCAACTCTGCCACCCCCGCCTCCACCTCCAGATGGGGAGGACCCACCATTTGTGCTTACGAAACCAGTTCCTTTGAATGTAGTTGTGTTAATGTAGACACTACCACCACTTCCACCACCATTCAGGTTGTACAATGGCTCAGTTCCGTCTGCATGAAGGGATCCATCAATCTCAACTACTCCTGTTGCTACCATGGTGATGACCCCTCCACCTTGACCTGGTAACGATGAGGTAAGTCCACTGACCCCTCCAGGGCTGCCGAAGTCTTGTGGTTCGTACAGAGAGCCATAGGGTGGTCCAACTATGCTGTAGTCATGACTGTGTACGCCTTGGCCTCCACTTCCTCCATGACCACCACCTGAAGCTCCTGCGTCAGAACAAATAATGCCTTCCATGTAAAGTACTAAACACACAAGTGCTATAGAAGATCAAAATCTAGTACTGCACATTGCTCAAGCCTAGAAGTGTACAGGTAGCTAGGTTGTTCAGTGTACCAGCTCCTGCCGCACTGTGTACCTGCAGACAAAGAACCCACATTAAACCATATTTGTTAGCCAACATGACCTGTTGAAATCTAACAACAGCAAATGAGAAAGGGTGTGAAACAATAATGACACATCATCAGAGAAAAGTACCTTCAGGGTTGGACAAGTCCCATTGCCCACTTGCCCAGGGCAAGTAAAAGCACTGTTCGGGCAAGTGAATATCCCCCTGGACTTGCCCGATTGGGCAAGTAAATTTTTTGGATGCAAAGTATATCCCCTGCAGTATTTTGACCAAGTTTCAAACAATTTTGATAAATCAAGCATCCAATTATATATTATAAACTCTATCATAATAAAATAATTTCCTTTCTGCTAGTAAAATGCATTGAAATACATGTACTTCATATTTTGGGCAAGTGAAAAGTTGGTTCGGGCAAGTGGAAATGACTAGGCACTTGCCCGATACGGCAAGTGGATTTTTGAAAACTTGTCCAACCCTGACCTTGTGCTGCAGGGATGCCTTCTCCGTCTGTGTTACTCCCAGCTCCGCTGGTGTCCACCTCTGCCGCTGTGTCCACCAAGATGGTCTCGGCACTCATGTGTACCCAGTTTCCCTGCAACAATAAAGACAAAGCTGACATTAATATCAACAAACAATACCAAGCTGTTACAGTAATAACTAATGAGACAGTCTGAGGCTTTGAGCCATAAACAATGATCAACACAATGGGCAAGCTAGCATTGTGCAAGAACAATGTGCTCTGTACAATGAGGGTGATGGCATTTCTGATTGGCAGTTCTAGATGAGGAGGATAAGGAGCACCTTGATGGCACCTCCAGCATGAAGGTGGATCCCATCAGTTATCTGAAGGGACAGAGATGGTTCCTGTCCACGCTTTGAGCCATCAGGGTAATATGACTCCAGCTGTCCGTCTGTGAATATCTGTAGGGACTTCAGTTGCAGTGTCTTTGGCAGTGCCCCAGATGTTCCACCCTGCAAGAAAACACAGGTATTAAAATCTCCCAACTTGAAGAGTACTATTGTCAATCAAATGAAAAACAGCAGATTTCTACAACTGCAGATTCGTGCATCTGAAATATAGTAAGACTGGTGCTGATTTTTGGATGTAAAAAATTGCTTGAAACACACAAAGTCATATTTTTGTTATGATTTCCTAATGTGATAGCCCATGTTGTTTAAGATGGGAGACAAACACCATGCTTACCAAACCCCCAACTGTCAAGGTGATACCACTGCCAATGGTTAAGTCTTCCAAACCATCAAGGGTGCCATCCACATGGACTTCAGGGTTGTCCATGTCAGCAAGGTATACAGCTGTGGGTTAAAGAAACACTTTGTTGAAACAACAAGTTTGTTAATTGTCCTGAACAAAAATGGCACCATTTTACCTGGCAGGGTGGATGAGTACAAAATTAATGTTTCTAACCATCCTACTGTCCAGAGTATTCATTTACTAGAGTTTCATTTATTAGAAAGAAGAATAGTACTGTGGTATTGGAGTAATTTTTCTGCCACAGGACTACTCACTCTTTGGTAGGCTGACGTATGAGTTTTCATAGCTTCTGAAGCCTGCTGGGAAGGGAGAGTTGGAGTCTGTGATGTGAAGATGGTGGTCGGGTGACGTGTGGAGTATCCCAGACCCATCACCATGGAGACGGCCTATGTGTACGGGAATATCCTGAAGAATGGTATCGTCCTTGTGGAAGGCTAAATGTCCACCACCTGATAAATGTACATGATCAAACTCATACTGCAACATGAGGTTAGATGTCTGAGTTGTGATGTAGGCACGTCCACTGTCCTGGTTGCTGTTAGTTAGCCAGGTTGTCTTTGGTTTGTAACCGCCGTTGTCCACAAGAAGTGTTGTTTGAGGTGATGTGGTGTTGAGTAATGGGTTAGAGATGAAGACTGTTCCAGGGCCTCCCCTTTCAACATCACTTGCCCCTCCTAACGCCTGCAGCTGCCCACGGAAGGTGTCGCTGACATTGCTGTAGACAGCCACACGGCCCCCAGCACCTCCACCACCAACAGCCTAGAGGGATAAAAAATGGGACTTCCTTACTTACTCAACTATTACTGCAACTGGAAAATGTCCTGTACAAAAAAGCATTAAAATAGCTTTAACTTGCTACTATCATTTCTGAAAGACTCTCTCAGGCCTCATTTGTAATACATGTATCCCTTTTAAGATTAAAGGAAAAATTATTATTGATATTATCGCATATTTTAAAGATATAAAGATAAAGAAAGATTTCAACACAGGCCCTAAAGTCAGAAAAATAATCATAATGGGTACTACTAGTATCAGGGATAAGCAATACTCACTAGTGTTCCTGACTGTTTCTCATTTCTGCAATATCTTCCAACAGAATGGTAATTAGTGCCATAGCTTGGTACTTCATTGCGCCAATCATCACAACGTCGGACACAGTCATAAGGTTTCCAGTAATACTGGTTCCTGCACTGCAAACATCGTCCCTCAACACAGCGGTTACAGTTAGCTACACACGGTGAATCCCCTCCGCTTACAGACACACGCCCTCTTCCTACAGAAAAGATCCAACAATATCACATTAAATGCAAAACAAAACAACTCTTCATTAAATACTAGTAATGCTGTTTGATAGGCCACATTCTTGCTATTCCACAGTCATTTTTAACTTAAGTAAAGGTATTGCATGGCAGCATGGAAATAAAGGAATGATTGAGAAACATGAATCTTACAGCTATATTCTCTTTCTGAAACTGTGTATACAAACTAAGGTATAATATAGATGTTGATATTACATTTCAGAACTCTTAAAGATCTGAGGTCCAGCATATAACATTGGTGTGACCTTCCACATGTTAACTATTAATTACTAGGGAAATTGCCTTCAATATTATTTCTACCCTTCGTGCACAGCCTTCAAGTGCATAAAACCTACAGTGTAACATACAAATGTGACAGTCCATTATCTGTGTAATAAATGTTTTCCTACCAGACAGATGCCTTGTTGTGATCCAGATACTCCCACCACTTCCTCCTCCGTTCCCAGTTGAGGTAGCAGACAGGCCATCAGCTAAGAGTTCTCCATCCAGAAGGAAATGATTTTCAGCTTCAAAACGAAGAACACCTCCACCACTTCCCCCATGCTAGAAACAAACCATTATCATGATTAGGATTCATGCTGCCTACTTGAAGGCTGATGTTTATAATTTATAATTCTGTACCTGCCAGGCAAACCAAACAAATACTTGACGATGTGTCAGATCTTCTGAAAGTAACAGTGACAAAATATTTTCTGTACATCCACTAGTATGCTAACCTCTGTGGATCCACCTCTGCGACTGCCACCACTTCCATAGTCCACGGGTTCAAGTACATTCCCATAGCCAGGTGCAGAGTATGCTGTGTTCTGTCCCTGCCCACCTCCCCCACCGTGAGAGGCACCTGACCCATAGGAGGTCCCCAGCCCTGCCCCAGGACCCTGGGATACCGGCCAGCCATGTCCTGATGCATCCACCTTACCTTCACCATCAACACTGATGTTCACAGCTGAAATATACAACAAAATATTATACATATACATGGTATATCTACTGGTACCTGCCGAGAGAGAATAGCAAAATATTGAATGGAACAGTTGTCAGTTAAATCTAGTTATAATCAATAAACTAGCTTCACCAACCTTTGATGTATAGTTTGTTGGCAGCCACCTCTGCCCCTCCCCTTACTGTGAAACTGCCATCAAGTTGTACCATCAACCCAGCCTCATCTTCTGGACCTTCCAGGTAAGAAAGGACTCCTCCATTCAGAACTGTGATGCTGTTCAGAACTAGGGTGCCAGGTGTCTCTGTATTAATCTTTGATGTAGCCTTGATGTCAAGTTTTCCATCCAATGATATGTTGAGAGTCTGCACACCCAGAAGTTTCCCTCCATACAGAGTTAGTGTGGTGTCCTGCAGGTAGGTGTGGTGAGGAAGTCCCAAGGTACCATTCTACAGCATTAAAAAAAGGAAAAAAAACAACTTCATAAAACAACTTCATATAGAACTCAAAGGAGGATTTTCCATACTTTCTCAGTGTTAGATATAAAGATATAAAAAAGTGATGATATCATTATCAAGACATAAACTTAACCTTCTAATACACAATACATTGTTTTATATCACACCTGATAGACATTGACATTGAAGGGAATCTTGTGAGTTGCATTCAGGCTGATACTGATGGCCTCCCCATGGTCAACATGAACGGTCCCAGTGTGGTCACCTGCCAGATCTCGGACATGTAACGTCCTACTGTCGCTGACAGGCAGACCTCCTTCATCCACAGACAGCAGGCTGACGTGTGAGTACCCTCCAATGTCAAGGACATCCAGGATGTGATCATCAGCTTGGTCCTCAGGGAGAGGGATCCATGTTCTCCGGGACTGGATGTGGAGACACAGTTTATTACAACTTAGAACAGGATAAATTGTCAGGGATCAATCTAATTACCTCCGGGTAGGGATGTATCCCGTGCGCGGAGGTTTTGTGGGGGAAGATGAAAATTACGTTCGCAGCCGTTTCTCGCGTTTGGGTGGACGGACATGTCTGGGACTTGGTGTACGTTTTGCTATTGGGCTGTAGATGGTGCACGTTGTTTTGGCTTTTTAGTATGTGTGTTTTAGTGCGTGAAAATGATGCGTTGTGACAGCGTATGGACACCCCTTGTGTGTGAAAGTGGTTTTGTCTTTTGATTTTCGGCGTGTATAAAGTGTCGCAGGCGTCGTCCACATCTGGTGAGAGGGGGTGTCAGGTATCGAGGAAAAATATCTCGCGTTGGGGTAGACGGGACCCATGAAAATCCAGCTCGGTACGCTGACTTCCGGGTACCGAGGGTTATTTTTATCTGGCTCGAACATCAAAAAGGGCGCATAGAAATTGTCCCGAAAATTCTTTTAGAGTCTAATCACCCTTTTTTTGATAGGATGTTGCTTAGTAGTTGTAGAAAAAACGTAGAAAGCAGCGAAAATGTGCCTCTTTGCTGATAAAGACATTCTATCGCGCTGCCGGCTCGATATCGCTTATCCAATCGGAACGCAGGTCATGTGAGGTGAACCAATGAGAGTGTAGATCGCGCTGCTATTTACATATCAAAATGGCGCACGCATGGTTTTGTACAGCGATGTGGAGAACACGTTTTTGCCAAGTTTTTTATCCCGGAATTTTCATAGTATTGACTGATTTTTTTGGCACGCCGTGATTACGCTACAAATGACACACTAGAGGAGACAACAGATGAGTGATCATTTTACAATCGACAAGAACTTTTGATGAATGAAACAGGAATGAAATATTGCTGATTGCGATTTGTTTTCGAAAATATTATTTTGTCTCGTGTTTGTAACGTTCGCTCAAAAGGAGGTTCTAAGTTTTAACCGTAACATGAAAGATATGAACACGATTCTGTGCATGTTTTGATGTGTTTTTTTTTACGTGATTTGAACTAGTGTGGGGTAAGTGGGGAGGGATGGCAGCCGCGGGGGGGGGAAGCGTAGCGGCTTGATAAATTTTCGAGAGCAAGTTCCGCGCACTGGAGTTGATTTCTCACGCGGCCGTTTGTGTAGGTGTTTGTTTACATTATCGCTGGTCACTGAGGGTCGGGCAGCCAGATTCGCCACGGGATGCCCCCTGTCCTTTCTATTTTGGGGCTCCAGTCAGCTAGGGGGGATTAGTGATTTCACAGATCATTTAGCCAATTACAAACATTTCGAAACTTTTCGAAAAAATGGTATTCACGTGAACACACATACACCCAGACACCATTCACTAATTTAACAGTCCCAACATGCACCCAACATTCTGCAACATACATTACAATACCCGGAGGTACAAAATCTACGATTTTCCTTGTTTTCTTTTGCATTTGATAATGTTCAGAATTTCAGTATTCAGAATCATCTTAATTTAGATACAGTACTGTACATCATGATCGGTTCTGTAGTTAATAAACATTGAGTACTAATTTTAAAAGAATTCCATCATGATAATACGAAGTAGATGACGAACTTACTGGTTGGTTATAGCCATTGTAGATCTTCAGGGTAGTTTTCTCTGCTGAATGTTGTTGTTTGAAGAAGACTGTCCCTGATGCACCATGCTCACCCTGCCCCTCCCCTCCTGAGGAGTCCAGACTTCCATCAAAGTCATTCACTTCAAAATACAGGGCCATCCTTCCACCACCTCCACCCCCACCCCCATACCCACTACCTCCATTCACCTAGTACAGGTGTAGGGACAAAGGAATAGAAAAATATTTTAATAACATTATCAAGGACAATGACAATGAAGCAAGGAATATTTTGAACATTCAATATTTTGCATTTCTTGGGTTTTCAAATATTGTTATTTTATACTCTTATAAAAGAGCATGAAATACTGTGGACAATTCTGTTCTACCTGAATCTTCCCAGTCCCTTCCAGTTTCCTTGCAGTGAGCTGAAGACTTCCTCCACTGCCTCCTCCTCCATATTCACCTGTTGAGTCCTGTCCATTTGTACTTAAGACACCTTCTATACGAACAAAGTCTGTGGCATTGACAAACAAACTCCCCCCACCGGCCCCTCCACTGTTCCCTCCGCCACTGCCGAACTCCTGCGGGAGGAGGAAGGAGCCGTAGGCAGGGCCTGTCTGCTGGGAGGCAGACGCTGCTCCACCGCTCCCACCATGGCTCCCACCTGTTCCACGGTTGTTATGTGTAAGGCCTGCACCTGGACCAGCTGCAAGGATATTCAAAATTGATTTTAACCACATAGAAGAAAATGTTACTATTTACATAAAATGTGTGACAGGGACATTTTTTGCCAAAGACCCTTGATGATAGATGAGAAACAAATAGTATTATATGCTTTATGCAAAACATACAGTGTACATAATTATATATTGTATATGATATACAATGTGTACATGTACAATGTACATGTAAGTGTATTGATTTTGATTGTACCTGTAGACAGGGGAAAATACCTAAATGCCACCAATTGCAGAAAGGTACACAAATAAGATTCAAGCTGCTTACAAATAAGATTCAAGTTGCTTGTCAAGAACTCTGCAATGCCCATGAATACTACAACCTTAATATATTTCTTCTACTAGCAGAATTCATTTTTATGAGTACATTGTAAACAACAGTCTGTACTGACCTCCAGCTGAATGCCCACTCCCATCCACATTGATGGAGCCTTTGACATCAACGATAATGACATCAGCGAGTAGATGCAAGTTGGTTGATGTTAGAACTCCACCTCCATGCACCTGCAGTTGATTATTGTCGATGATTACAATGTACATGTAATATGTAAAAAACTAATGCTCTATAAGAGATCATCAAGTTATACATATTTTGCGATTAATAACTTAAAAGTCTTATCTCGTAAGACTACCTTGACATTCTCTCCAAAAATCAAACATTTTATTTCTTAAAAGAATTTTAAGAACAATTATAATTATAGTTGAATAAATTTTGTGCTACTGTAAACAATATTCTGCTATAATTACTGCTGTTTGTCATCACTTCATATGACATTATATGCAAATTGAAACCCACAATAAATAAAATGACCAATCTAAACATCAATTTTACTTTTTTTGCAATATGCCTTGGGGCTGAAGATGAAAGAAGAACACACCTGTACAAATGTTCCTTTCATGACACGCCGGTTCTGTCCATTTGATGTCTGCAGGGTTCCATGGTTACGAATTTCAATGGCATTGAAGTTGAATGTCTCAGTCGGATGTCCATGAAGGTCAATCATCTCGTGCATTTTTATGATTCCTAGCAAAAAACAAGAAATGCACAAAATTCACAGAGTCATTCATATACAACTAAGAAAGATGTTTCTATCAACAAACTTCATGTTTAATGCACACAAAAAAACATTCCCACAGGTTAACACTTTTTGAAGTCCAGTGTGTGATCTGCTATCTCTATCCTGTGCTATGACTTTTTAAACCAGTTGAAAGGACTACATTAAGTGGTACAATGCACAATCTACTGTAGTACTAAAGTCACAATATTGTCTTGCACAGTTAAATGTACCTCCATCTACAACAGTGATGTTTTCACAGTTGGCCACCACACCCTGCACATCCACAGTGACGCCTGCTGCACGCAGTTCTCCATGTGTGGTTGTCAGGCCTCCTGGATAGGATTGTCAGGTCCATGGGAGATGAGCATTGGCTGCATACAAAGTCTGGTTAAAGCCGATGTGAATTTTCCCACTGCGGTCCCCATGCAGAGATCCCAGTCTGATCTGGAGATGTTCCCTTGGACTGAGCGGCCACAAGAACCCAAGCTGTGCCCCACCATAGAGGTGAAGCTCATCAATAATGACATCCTCAGGAAAGTAATGGGTTGGTATGTTTCTGTCAGCTATCTGTGATGGCTCTGCTGGTAGGATCCATGCAACTGTGGAAGTGGAAGCATAACTAGTGTACAGGGAAGACAGGTTTCTCTCAGGATCTCTGGGTCTCTTCCCCAAGTTGTTGATGTAGAGTGTTCGGTTGGTGAGTGGCTGGGTGACATTGGAATCGTGGGTAACTTGTGCTTCCTCACTGGTAGCATCCAGAAGTTGTGTCTGGTTGTCCGGTTGCAGACGATGAAGGTACACTGTACCGGGTCCGCCTGGTTCATAGCCATCCCCACCGGTAGCAAGGAACTGGCCTGTGGATCAAGGATTTAGCATTGATGATTTACTTCTCATGCTCATCATGTAGTCAAGTACATCTACAATTGCATGTTGATGTAAAGCTCTAACCATTGGTTGTATGATTGTGTACAAAACTAAATGTAGTACACAGATACTGTTAATTAAATCAGAACCATACCTATGTAGTGGTTGTACATTATATGTGTAGTACACCCTTACAGAACCATACCTACACATGTACAAAATGTATGTAGTGGTTGTATGTGTAGTACACCCTTACAGAACCATACCTGTGTAGTGGTTGTATGTGTAGTACACCCTTACAGAACCATACCTATGTAGTGGTAGTATGTGTAGTACACCCTTACAGTAACCATACCTATGTAGTGGTTGTATGTGTAGTACACCCTTACAGAACCATACCTGTGTAGTGGTTGTATGTGTAGTACACTGCTGCTCGTCCTCCTGCCCCTCCTCCTCCTGCAGCTGACCCCTGACCCATGTACCCATCTCCTCCCGACACATCCACCACTCCGTCTCCATCAAAGATGTGGGTCTCAAGCCAGATACTCCCACCACTTCCCCCTCCTGCTGCCACCGACCCCCACTTTCCACCCTTGGCTGTCAGAAAGCCGTCCACAACAAGGGCATTGGAGATGTTCACAAACATCCGTCCTCCACCTGAAAATATTGGAAGACATATTGGAAATGTTTACAATATACCTTCTGTTGTAAAGGCTTTAGAAAAGTAATTTTCTGTTTTGTTACTAGAGTTAAATTTGCATGCCTTAATGCAACACAATTCAAGCATCGTAAAGTTTTTATACGGTGACTTTATATTACAGTTGTGACTGTCCACATAAACATGATTTATAAGAAAAGATAGAATCTGATAAATATTACATATACCTCTCCCACCAAGATGAGGGAAGACACTGTGCCCCCCTTCCCTGCCAAACGTGTTTGGGCTGAGGATGGATCCATGTGTGATCCCAACCACCGACTGGGAGTGACCCTGACCACCATTCCCACCATGCCCTGCTCCGGATGAACCTGAAGGACTCCCAACTCCTGCACCATCTGGAGACAGAACGGTATCACTATGGTTAATTAATGAACCAACTTGTACCTTCATCCAAAATTTTCAGTGCATAGAATACAGTCAAACACGTAATATGAAAACAAAAGATTTTATAATTGCCACCATGATAATACCGTAACATTGTATACCCATATTTGAAAATACTAGATGTTATACTATACGCAATATAACATGAAGAAGTTTAATTGATATTATGATAAGAATAAAATATGCAGGAAAACATGTCAAACAGAAGACATACCACCAAAGGCCTCCTGCCTTGATACCCCTTCATCCACAGTTAGATAGGCAGAAGATTCAATTGTGACATTGATGTAGTGCAGTTCCAGGTCATTTGACCGCACCTGATAAGAAAGTCACAAAATCAAACATACATTCATGCATTCTATGATTTCAGATTATATCACGATACAATCAAATACTAATTGTTTGCTACTTTGGCCTGTAGCTAATAATTCTATTAAAACAACCTACGGCTTTACGATACCATACATGTACCTAAGTATACATGACAACTGACAGTGTACAAATCATTTGTTCACAATATTTGTCCTATATACTGTATGGGCAGTAAATCACCATAAAAAACTGCATTTCAGCTAAGAAGAAAAATTCGTAGCATTCTTACCATCCCTCCACTGCGAATAGAAAATGTCCGTCCAGTCAAAGTCGTAGTTACTTCATTCTGAGTGAGAACTTCCATCTCTCCAAAGGTTTTGACCACCACATGATCCAGCTCTGTTGTTGTAGGCTCCAGGTGATCAAGCACAAACTTACACCCTGATCCGACAGTCAGGTTTTGTATGGTGTCAAAGTGACCTTGTAATGAAAAATGGACAAAGTCATTAGCTCAAACAGCAATGATATCAAAAACTGATATATACAGTGTACACCATGGACAGGTGTTTCCTAATTAGTCTTAAGGACAGGTGTCTTCTCACTGCAATCATACATTATGTAATTCTTTGAAAATAATTAACATTCTACAAACTTGAGCTGATTCTAACTTGTATAAAGCATGCTTTCCTGTGATCAAACTGCCACTGTACATCATTTGCTAGGCTGAAAGGACAAAACTCATAATAAATCAGTATGGCTTACATGTACTGACATGAAGAGTAAATACCTCGGATATAGATGTCCACATCCTTGCACTCTGTACGAGGCGGAAGTGTGACGTTTGCTCCACGATGTACGATCAAGGAGAATGGCAGGATGTCTCTAGAAAACCTGTTATGGAACATCTGGCCTTCCCGCATGGTCACCAGGCCTGTGTAGTCACCTGTGACTCGGTCCACAGACAACCTGCTGCCTTCTCCTTCTCCTTCCAAGCTAAGCCCACCACCACCATGTACTTGGATCTGATTGGGAAAAACATACAAATGTAGCTGCTACAGGCTAGGCTGGTATGTGTAGTACCTATTAGATTATGACAAAAAATCCCTCTGAGTCAGTATAAATGTCCTAACAAATGAAAGATGGCAAAATAAATAAATTACTTTCTGATAACGTCGGGATGCATTTATAAACAAACCTCGTCGAATTCCAAATGATGTGATGGTTCCTCTTCTACAACAACCCAGGCACTGCCCGGTGCTGAGGTAAACGGGAACTGAGAGGCAACATTTGGGTTCTCCCGTGCAAACAGCTGAATGGCATCCATGGTGGTGTGACCTGACGAACCATGGGCAAGGAGCGTTACATAGATCTGTAAAAAAAAAGTTTGAAATACATGTAGGATGTGTCAAGGTAACATGAAAGTACTTGTTTTGGACTTAAGTAATGTAGAAATAAAGAAAATTCAACCAACATGCAGCAAATCCCTTATTGGCTACACTGCTACTTTGATTAAATGTAATAGCCATGATTGTTACATGTACATATACACAATACTGGATTGGAATTATCACAGTTATTAAAATGCATCTAAATCAGACAAATCTACTGATTAGACAGATATACTGGTTCTTATTATTGAAAAATATCTTTGGAATTTATGTTCAACTTGGAAGAATTTTGTATTGAACATTGAAGTGTAGCCATACCTTTTCAACATCCCTACCCAACTCTACATCAGCATACTGGTCAACCAACTGCTGTGTCCCACAGCCAAGAGTTTCAATGTAACCCTCTGTGTGGTTATACATCTGTCCTTGGTATTCACTCTCCACTTTGAAGGCTGTTGTTAGGCTGCAAAGATTGTGAAGCATTGGTATTAGTCTGACAGAGAACAGAACCGTACATTTGTACATCTATCACAATCAGCTTTCCCTGACTGTTAAAAAAGCAGCTGCAGTAGTAAATGAAGTGGACGTTTGCTGTAAAGAAGGAAAGAGATCAATTGGGTATACCGTATGGGTATGTAATCAATAAAAAGCTAAGATAATGGCATGTCTTATTGCATGTCTAGATGTTAATGATAATATTAAATATCTTTAGTAAATGGGGTTGAAACCATGCTCCATCTCACCTGTCTATGCACATTGGGAATATCCTGAGATGGTCGATGTACAAGGTAAATGGTAGGGTGAATGTAAGGGTGGGGTTCCTTGTAGTGCTTCTGTAGTACGAGCTGGAGGACTGGGACTGGATCCTGGATAAGGAGTACCAATGATAACTATTAGGATTGCCAGTATGGTATGCAGGGCCTGTTGTTTGGACAGTCACTCCGCTATACGACACAAACTCCTGGTCTCCAGTTGGTCCGGCTAGAGAGATCGGCTGTACTTCCTGCACACGTGGTTCAGGAGATGACTCGCGATTGTTGTCTACTCGTAGTGTACGATGGGTGCGGTTCTGATGGTCGATGCCCTCGATGTAAACTGTGCCACTGCCGGCATGTCCAGCTTTGTCTTGACCTCCATGTACCTGGTATTCCCCATCATACGTGTAGTTGTTCCTGTAGTAAACAGCAATGCGTCCGCCTGATCCAGCACCACCATATCCAGGGCCTGCAGTAAACAAAGTTATTTTTGTAGCTTTACTATAATTGCACTAAAAGTCATGTGTATTATGCAGTGATCATGCAAGAGTGTAATATCTATAAAATCAACATAATCCTATTCAGTCCTCTTGACTTAAGAATCAGTGCTGTTGTGGTCATCATAAATTGTAGTTTAGGATGTGACAAATTTCAGGTCTTGGTTCAACATTAAAAGTGTCTGTCTTGAAAACAGCACAGCTCTTGTACTTTTTTTTAGAATAAGTGGATTTCATAAATGAAATGAACACTTATAATACTTTGATTACTCTGGCACTTGATATTGGTCTTGTGGCTATATATATTTGGTTAAATTGCTGCCTGGCCATCAGATGTAGAGTGTGGATACTGAAACAGGGATGCTGTAATCTGATGGCAATTTGACCCAGATTGGTTACCTGGTACAGATCCACCCATTACTTCCACAGAGCCAGTCCCATCAAGGTGTCCCACAGTCAGAAGGATGCTGCCTCCTGCCCCCCCTCCTCCCGACCCAGTCATCACAGACTCTCCATTGGCATGGAGACGACCTTCCACCCGGAAAGTGTCCAGGACATCTATGTGTACCACTCCTACAGACCAAAATAATGTTATTAAGTTACCTGGAGGCATTTGCGAGTCATTAACATGACATAAACTGTTGCAGTTTGAAATTTCAAAGCACAAATGCTATTACTGGTATAGTGAAATACTAACTTGCATCAGATGCAAATAAGCATACTGGGGATTTTTAGGGTCTATTGCTGAACAGACATAGCCTACAGTTGCATCAGCTTGATACGATTAATACCCATTCTACCTGTTTCTACCAAACAGTTTTGGAGTACCAGTACACACCTCCTCCCCGCCCTCCTGCATCACTGCTGTCCCCATGCCCTCCTCCACTACCAGGGAGATGTGGAGAGTACAAGGAGTCATAGGCAAACCCTGAGTAGATCCCACGATGGGAGCGGCCACCACGTCCCCCATGGCCACCACCAGATCCCCGCCGCATTCCCCCGTAACTTTCGTATCTCCCTGCTCCGGGGCCTTCATCTGCTGAGTGGCCTGACATGTCCGCATGGAAGTTACCTGCAAAATGTCCAAATTATGAGTAAGTTAAGTTTCAACTGTATCATAGGAAGAAACTGAGACATTTCAAAATATGCACGATCCAGTAGCACCATTCTCTTGTCAATTGAGAGCACTTCAGCACCATGGACATATTCAACACATATAATCCAAATCATGGGAATACATTTGCTGTCTTAAAACTGCAATGGCAGGAACCTCTGCACCATGTTGTTCTACATTTGATCATGTGAAGAAGGTGGATCCTTGATTTTTTTGTTTCAGTTCAGTTTCAGTTGGTTCATTGGAACACAGTTACAAAGTTTGAAATTTAAAAGTCATCTATATGTAGATTACAATGTATAATTAGGTCTATCAACCAAGTAAAGCATATTTTTTTAAATGATATGCATTGTACATGTATGATAAATCTGTATCATGGCATACCTGCTACGTCAATAGTTGCATTCACAGCTGTGAGTTTGAGATCATTTGTTCTCACGTAGCCTCCTGCATTAACCACAAGTGTTGTTACGTTGATGTCCATTCTGCTGTCGTTTTTCACAGTGAGCATCTCCATTTTTCCATCAGCCCTTACACTTATGTTGGCACACTCATATGAACCACTGGACTTTCCCCTGGTGTTGCCATAGGACCACAAATGAAGTTCTCCATCTGACTCAACAGTTAAGTCCTCAATGTTGGCAATGGTGCCATTGACTTCCATCCAAACTTCACGCATGGCAAGCCGCTGAGGTAACTCGAGATGGCCATACCTAAAGAGAAAATTCAGCACAATAGTACAGGAGGTAGAAAAACAGTAAGGCAAAGAACACTGACTTTACAGCATAAAGTATATATCATACATATAAAGAATATACCTGTAGAGCTGGGTGTTCACTGGTAGATAGATGTCAACATCATCAAATCCAAAAGTCTGGTTCTTCCCAACATGCATCACACCTGAACGGTCGCCTAACAGTCTGCCTCCCTGCACTTCCACCATGTCTGTACTTGTGTTACTCAGGATGGCCACATGAGCATTGCCATGGACATGGAGCTGTTTCATAAGAGATTGTTCACATCTGTTATATCTGTTATAAATCATTCACAAATACCATTAAATCAAATATAATAAATAAATATCACAAGGAAATGTTTTTTGGAGTATTTTTCTCCAAGTAAGTTTATTTATATCTTAACATAACATTAAATGTAAGGTGTATATTGTAGCTACTGATTTGGATGGTAGAAAGGAAGTTTTTTTCTAAACAGCAGTACAATTTTTGATTACATTTTAACGTCATGCAAGACAATTTTTGATTACATTTTAACGTCATGCAAGAGTACCTCATCAAAGACATAGCTGTGTGAGTCATGGTACAGCCAGGTGATGCCTCCTGATTGGCCGATGTCCTCATATGATCCATCTAACAGGTTACGAAGGTCGCCATGTTGGTATGTTGCTGCGTGGGGGTAAGGGATGCCATTGTTGTCGATCTTCAGAGTCTTGTGTTGGGCTTCTAGCATTGCATTCTGACGTTCAACATAGACAGTGCCAGAACCACCAACTTCATAGTTGCTGTTGCCTGCAACATGAGCAGAAACATAATTAATGTTACCGGTAGATTAGAAAAACCAATGCAAGCTGAAAATGATCATCAGCTATTCCTTTGCATGTATAGATTATGTCTGCTTACCTCCATATGCTGTGACTGTGCCATTGAACTTTCGTAGTTTCTGGGAGTAGATGGCCACACGTCCCCCTCCCCCTCCTGCTCCACCAGAACCATGGCCAGTTCCACCATTGGCAGAGACGGCTCCGTATCCATCCAGCTCTTCACATTCTAACCAGATGCTTCCACCTGAGCCACCACCTGCAACAAGAACATGATTGTGTAATACATCATTCTGCAATATCTATCCATGGATAAACTCACTCTGAGACTTACCGGTAACATAGTTGGTGTGGTTAAACCTGCTTCAACTTAGTAACATTTTAAATCTAAATCATGAAAAAATTGGAGAACCAACTGTGCCTAAACATGCATGACATGTTCATCAGAACAAACCCTACATCAATACAGAATAAACTCTTGTGTGCAAAACCTCCAATGAAATATATTGTACAACTGATACAGTAAGTAAAGGACATAGACGACTAACTTTCCTTACACCTGTAGCATTTTTCCTGAAAAAGCTGATCATAAGACTTCTTACCAGCCTGGCTGTTATGAACACCATCGATGCTTTCTCCATTAGCAGTGATCCTGCCATCAATGAGGCAGTGTCTGGTGGTAATTTTCAGTGCCCCTCCACCTCGCCCACCAAGTCCTCTCCGCACAACAGCATTGCCATGCTCATTGTCTCCATAGTACAATTGTCCTGTGGAGCAAGGCACAGAACTGTCAGTTTGTACATTAAGTGCTACTGGTAGTTAGACAAGGAGCAAGCCTGTGAATTACTTGTATCAATTAAAGAAAGACTGAGGTGCCTCTGGTATTTTTGTTTTGTAAATGTTTGACAATCAGTAAAAGTAACTCTTACTGGAGTATTGGAATTTTTTAAATAGCCCAGTTACATGTAAGCTCACCATAGTTACTGCCATAGCCTCCTGTACTTCCATAGTCTACAGGTTGGTAGATGGACCCGTAGGCAAGCCCAACATTGGTTTGACCTTTACCACGACCTCCACTGCCACCATGGCCACCTCCACTTCCACCTGCAGAATTTCCTGGATAATCAAATGTCAATACTAAGTCAATGTCAGCTATATAATAATATATTGTACAAAATTACTTCCTCTCAAACAATGGTAGAACCTTATGGAAAAATTTTGTGGATGCCAAAAACTAAGAACTATATAATTATAGATGCCCAATGAATACAATGTATTAAGCCATATCCTACCATAACCCTGACCAGGTCCTTCTGATGGTTCAAAACCAGATCCTCTTGTCTCCTTTGTGACATAGCCTCCATGGTCAAGGTTAATCATCCCACCAGAGTAGATGGCCACAAGATGTTCTGCTGTCACATTGAACCGATCATTTGACCCAAGATGACCTCCTCCATAGACCTGATGCAACACAGTATTATACATGTTAATGTTAATGTTAATGTCACTACTACATGTTCATGTGACAATTGATGATAATGCATAATTTTATACACATGCGCGTGTAACGGGAATGTTATACTGGTCATGCAGATTGTTTTCCCTGAGAGGAAATGCACAATTGTTCTAGATTTCTTTCAAGGCCTCCAACACTACACTCAAGGGTAACACAAAGTTATTTATTTATTTATTTTATTTTATTCACATTTATTTTCCGAGGATGAGGCAAAAAGTTATAAAACTTATCTCAGCCCTCTCCTCACACATAAAAGGATACAATAAAACAAAGTAATAATAATAATAAGAAATGACAAGGGTACATAGTAGGCTGGTGTACAAATCAAAATGAATCAACTAAATCAAACAAAACGTCCTGTCTGCAAAATAAAGTTGAAAACCGCATCAAATATGTTACAGTTGTTGACAAACGACAATGAGGGGTTACCCCTGAGAATGGTTGAACATAAAGTGTTGTCGGTGACGTTGTTTGTGTCAAATGGCAGAATTTTAGTTAGAGATGATAACATATCAATGCGTTCGTCAGTGTACAGTGGGCAGTGTAAGAAGTAGTGTACAGCTGTTTCGTTGAAGTGACCACATTTGCACGCAGGACTGGGCACACATTGATGTTGGAACAGGTGAAAGTTTAACTGACTGCGGTTGAGTCTGAGTCTGGTAAGGTGGATAGCTGGGTTTCTCGGACCGTGGGAGAAGTGAGGTTGAGTGTGAGGGCTGTGATAAAAACGTCTCCAACTCTTTTTTAAAGATGGCAATTGATGTTGATGCTCGTGTAGTTAATGGCAAGTTATTCCAGGAAACAATGGAAGTAGGCAGAAAAGATCTTTTGAATTTCTCAGTTCTAGCAGGAATTAAGACGTAATTCTGATCAGTACGGAGACTGTAGGGGTGGAGTCACGGGTTTGTAGTGGTACCAATTCCTGTAAGTATTTGGTGCTAATTCTTTGATAATCTTATAAAAGTTTACAAG